GGAGGCTGAGGCAAGAGAATCACTTAAGCCCAAGAGTTTGAGCTGTGACGCCATGGCACTCTACCAAGGGGGTCATAGTGAGACTGCCTCAAAAAAAAATTACAGTACCAATTGTTGGAGAAGTTTGGAACAAGGAACTCTCATATACTGCTAGTGGCAATATAATTTAGTAGCAACTTTGGAAAACCATTTGGCCGTATCTAATTCCACTTGTAGATATATTCTCCACAGAAATACATACATGTATTTACCAAAATATTTCTGAAATGGGCCTAAAGTGGAAAACATCCAGCTATCAACAATAGGATGAAAATGTGGTAATTCTTATTATAGAATACTATATACTAAAAAGTACATTATTAACTTTGAATGGTGAGAATGACTAGGAAATTTCACATGGTAATCCTTTTGGGTAGCAAGTATATTGCTCTGGATGGTGGCTGCAGAATTGGGTTCACTTTTTTTTTTTTGAGACAGAGCCTCAAGCTGTCCCCCTGGCTAGAGTGCTCCTGGCATCACAGCTCACAGCAACCTCCAACTCCTGGGCTCAAGTGAGTCTCTTGCCTCAGCCTCCCAAGTAGCTGGGACCACAGGTGCCCACCACAATGCCTGGCTATTTTTTGGTTGCAGCCGTCATTGTTGTTTGGTGGGCCCAGGCTGGATTTGAACCCGCCACCTTAGGTGTATGTGGCTGGTGCCTTAGCTACTTGAGCCACAGGTGCCGAGCCTATACATAAGATTTTTATACTTTATTGTATATCATATTTAAATTTAAAAGTTTGAAAAATTAATATTTCTATTGAACAAAAAAATCTCTGAGAAAAATTAAAAGACAAGCCCTAACAATCCAACCCCCCAGTGGAGAAACAATGACAAGGGGCATGAACAGGTGATTGACCTTAAAACCTTGTTAAAGACTCAGGCCTAGTCCCTAAATCATTTCCCTATTTATACTCTCTCTTTGGTGATTTTATTCAGGTCAGGGCTGCTAATTACTATATGTTCACTAACTCAGACTTGCATATCCACCTGCCTGCTTGGTAACTCCAACTGGATGTCTCACAGGCAGCTCAGACTTAACAAGTCAAGGCTGCACTATAATTTTCCATCAAACTTGCTTCTTCTGTAGTTGTCTACAGGTCAATAAAATGGCAACTCCATTTTTATAGTTTTAAATCTTATAGTTATCCATAAAGGTCATCTTTTTCATACTCCATATTCGATTGGTCACCAAATCCTGTCAACCCAATCTTCAAAATACATCCAAAACCTGACTACTTCTCATCATTTCCACTGCTATCACCTGGTCTAACCATATGTCTTTTTTGCATCATTTCAATAATCACATAACAAGGCTTCTACAACAGATCAGGCTCCCTTATCACATGTCCCTGCTCAAAATGCTCCAGTGACTTATGTTCCTCAGTTTAAAAGCAGTATTCATGGCTTGGCACTTGGAGCACAGTAGTTACAGTACCAGCCACATACACCAAGGTTGGCAGGTTTGAACTCAGCCTGGGCCAACTAAACAACAATGACAACTGTAACAAAAAATAGCCAGGCATTGTGGTGGGTGCCTGTGGTTCCAGCTTTTTGGGAGGCTAACGCAAGAGGCTCGCTTAAGCCCAAGAGTTGGTTGCTGTGAGCTGTGATGTCATAGCACTCTACCAAGGGCAACATAGCGAGACTCTGTCTCAAAAAAAAAAAGTAGTATTCATTATAGTTGCCTGCAGTGCTCTGTAAGATCCCCACCCACTCGCCCTCCCACTCCCCCCATCCCTAGCACCTTTGGATCTTGCCTTCTACTATCTTGCCCTTGATCACTGTCCTCCAAGTTGCTTTGGTCTTCTTGTGTCATTCCTCAAATAGTCTAGGCATGATGCTGCCTGCCACAGGGCCCTTAACTAACACTTACATATACCTGGAATACTCAGCCCCCAGGCAGCCCCATTACGTGACTCACACCTTCACCTTCTTCAACAATGTGCTCAAATGTCCCATTATCATTTAGGTCTTCCCTGACCACCCAATTTAAAACAGTGCTGCCCTCCTCACTCTTAGCTCTTTCTCCATTCTTCTACTCTTTGTATTTTCCCTAGCACTCATTATCATTTTACTTTTACTCGTTTATCTGGTTTATTGTATTATCTCTTCCAACAAGAATTAAGCTACATGAGGCAGAAATTTTGTTTATCATGTACCCTACTGTATATAGTCCTAGTACCCTAGAACAGTGCTTGGCTCATTTGTTGAATGAATGAGAACTAAATCTCCAATAAACAGATTTAAAAAGGCTCAAGCTCACACTAATAAGTACAAGGTATAAATTAAACAAACACAAGACACTATTTCACACTCACCAAACATTATCATCTTTTGGCAAGGGTGTGGAGAACAAAACAAGGTCTCAGCACTGGAGTCAGAATACTCTCACATGAAGCACTTTGAAATGCTATTAGGCAATGTCAAGAATAGTTGCAAAAGGACAAGCCTATGATTCAGCAGCCTTATCTCTAGTGCACAACAAACAACATATTCAGGGCTGTGCAAGGCGGCATGTTTTAAAAGTAAAAAATTGGAAATAGCCTAAATGTCCATCAGTAGAATAGATATATAAAATATGATTAATTTATACAATGAAAATCATTCATCGGTTAAAAGAATGAGACAAATCTCCTGTGTTTGAACAGATTTAGAAAGCAATACATACAATGAAAAAAGGTAGCAGATGTTAAATACAGTTTTATATAAAGGAAAACTAAAGACGAAGAAGAAAAGATAAGGGAATAGAACATACAAGGGATTTTAAACCTGTCGGTGATGTTTCTTGTTTCTCTGGAAGAAATGGTAGAAAATTCTCAAACTTATTCATTTTAAATGGAGGATATGTAGGTGTTTATTAGATTATCTTTTTTACTTTCCTTTACTAAAGTTTTTCTTCAATAAATAAGATAATAAGACTGGCTACCTTTATTTATTTATTTATTTTTTGAGACGGAGCCTCAAGCTATCACCCTGGGTAGAGTGCCCTGGCCTCACAGCTCACAGCAACCTCCAACTCCTGGGCTCAAGCGAGTCTCCTGCCTCAGCCTCCCAAGTAGCTGGGACTACAGGCACCCGCCACAGCGCCTGGCCATTTTTTGGTTGCAGCCATCATTGTTGTTTGGCGGGCCCGGGCGGGCCCGGGCTGGGGATTCGAACCTGCCACCTTACGTGTATGTGGCTGGCGCCTTAGCCGATTGAGCCACAGGCACTGAGCCAAGACTGGCTAACTTTATATGCGTCATTAATAATTATAGCATATAAAAATACACATATAAACAAACGGAAATTTAAGAGAATTTCTGCAATATTCTATTCCTTTCTAAGATTATGTCCAGTCATTCCACACTCCATAATCTGAGGCTATTTATTAATTAGTTAATATTGGCCTTCAAAAGCAGGTTTCTGCTTAAAGCAGATAAGGAAAAGCTAACAGGAAAAAAAGACAGATGAAACTTAAGTTATGCTAATAGCAACTTTTATTGTTCAAAATGTAACATAGATTGAATTACTATTTATAAAAGACGTAGAGATTCAAGCCCCCTTTCCCATAATAATCAGGAAGAATAGAGCCATAGTCCTGCAAGGGTCTCCTATTAGTGGAGCCACAGTCCAAGGGTCATAGTAGCCAAGGGTCTACTATTCTTCTAAATCTCTACTTTTTAGCACATTCACTACTGATGATACTTTCTAGGAATTTATGGACAAAGGAGCCAAGAAGAGGCAAAGCTATATGGAACTTAGGATGAAGAAATAACTTTTTATTCCTTCTAAAAATTTATTTACTGTAGTGTTTAGCAAAAATGTGTTACCAAAATCACAAGAAAACTAGATTATGGGTATAAATAAGAGAATATTTTCTTAATAGTACTAAAATAAAACTTGCCTTAATGTGCTGTTAATTGCTCCAAGTTTATTAGCTTGCTCACAGTCTTCTAATTCTTTGGTATTATTTGTCACTTTCAAGTACTGCAAGGAAGTTCATAGTTAAGTTTAGTAATAATTATTAACTTTCTCTTTATTCAGCTTCCACTGGCAGAATCAATTAGTTAGCGATGATACATCCTATTATAAAAATCTCTATCCTATGTAAGAGATACAAATGATAATGAGGCACAAATTTCCACCAACTAAGTAAGTCAACACATTAAAATTTAACAAGCAGTGTTAATGTGTTGGCGATGATGTAAAGTGAAAAAAATGTGTTGCGAAAGAAATTTGACAACATATATCTAGAGCTGTAAAAATGCATATCCCCTTGAACTAGCAGTCCTACTAGTGAGACGGTATTCCAAGAAAACAATTTAAAGATGCAAACACCTTAGAAAGTTATTTTTTGTTATGTGTAATGTTGAGATAGATATACCCTATGGTCCAGCAACCAACATTTTTTTTTTTTTGAGTCAGAGTCTCACTATGCTCATCACAGTGCTGTGATGTCACAGCTCACAGCAACCTTAGGCTTACACAATTCTTTTCCCTCAGCCTCCCAAATAGCTGGGACTACAGGCACCTGCCACAGCGCCCTGCTATATTTTTGTTGCAGTTGCCATTGTTGTTTAGCTGGCCTGGGCCAGGTTTGAACCTGTCAGTCAGCCTCAGTGTATGTGGCCGATGCTGTAACCACTGTGCTACGTGTGCCAAGCCAGCAGCACAGAGTCTCACTTTGTCGCTCTCAGTAGAGTGGTGTGGAGTCACAGCTCACAGCAACCTCCAGCTCTTGGGCTTAGGCGATTCTCTTGCCTCAGCCTCCTGAGTAGCTGGGACTACATGTGTCCCAGTTATTTTTTTGTTGCAGTTTGGCTGGGGCCAGGTTCCAACCTGTCACCCTTGGTATATGAGGGTGACAGGTTGGAACCTGAGCCACAGGTGCCGCCTGCAACACAACTTTTAAATGTAGATCTAGAGAATCCTTTACATGAGATAAAAGACAAATTACTACTGTGTTTCCCCAAAAATAAGACCTACCCAAAAAATAAGCCCTAGCAGAATTTCTATGCATTTGTTAAATATAAGTCCTACCCCATAATAAGACCTAGTGATGGGTGTGTCTATGCAGCATGCATTTCAGCACAGAGAGAAGACATCCCCTGAAAATAAGCCCTAGTGTGCCTTCTTGAGAAAAAATAAATGTAAGACAGTGTCTTATTTTCAGGGAAACACAGTAGTGCGTCACTGTTTGAAACAGCAAAAATTACAAATAACTGAAATGCCCATTGATACATTGGCTAATCTGTGTTATAGTCATATAATTGACTACTATATAGCTGTTAAGATGAATGAACAAAATCCATATGTATCAACAGAGAAACTTTTTTGTTTTCTTTTGAGACAGAGTCTCACTATGTCATCCTGGGTAGAGTGCCGTAGTGTCAGAGCTCACAGCAACCTCAAGCTCTTGGGCTTAAGCAATTCTCTTGCCTCAGCCTCCCAAGTAGCTGGGACTACAGGCACCCACCACAACACCTGGCTATTTTTTGGTTGGAGTCGTCATCGTTGTTTGGCAGGCCTGGGCTGGATTCAAACCTGCCAGCTTGTGGTGCCCTAGCTGCTGAGCTACAGGCGCTGAGCCTCAACAGAGAAAAATTTAAAAAGCATAAGATTGAGTAAAAAACACTGAAAAAATGTTTTTAACCTCAATAAATACGATAATGTAATATTTAAATTTAAAAAATTTTACACTAATTAATCTGTACATTACTTGTGGATACACATGTAGTAAGTATATTACCTGTAGGTACATGTGCAATAAAAGTATAAAACCACAGAAGGGGCTCGGCGCCTATAGCTCAACCGGCTAAGGTGCCAGCCAC